ATAGAATGTTATTCCAGGGAGTTTCCTGATTGCCTTTAGGAATTAGGATGTTCTTTTTCCATTTTAGAGCAAACAAGACCATGCATTAAAACAACAATTTTCTCTATCAACCCTGGGTTTGGGGCAGGGTCAGATTTAGACCTTGTGGGGTCTGGGGCACGTCAGGTTCTGCAATACATCAGTTCAGAGTAAAAACTTTTACAGATGATGGCCAGCAAAATATTACTTCCCAAGATACATTTAATAAAATATTTTTTTATTATGCATTTTATTATTATTATTTTATTATTATATTTTATTATCTTATATATTTTTATAATGTTTTGCATACCTTTTTGTATAGGGGGGGTCTCTTCTGTCAGGGGGACCCAGGGCAGTTGCCCTTTTTGCCCACTTGTAAATATGGCACTGGTCTGGAATCCTGAGGAATGAAGGTGTTTTGTTTTTGTTTTTTTTTAACTTGGGTAATACGGTATGTCGTTTTTCAAGCTGACCCAGTATATCAAAAGTTTAAAAATGTTTTGGATTGAGTTTTAGTTTAATTAATTTTTCTTTAATTTAGCAACGTCATTTTTTAAGTTAACTCAGTATATCAAACATTTCCTTTTTCAAGCTGACCCAGTATATCAAAAGTTAAAAAAAATCATTTTAGACTTAATTTTATTTTATTTCATTTTTTTTTTTAATGTAGGAACATGTCCTTTTTCAAGCTGACCCAGTATATCAAAAGTAAAAAAAATCATTTTAGACTGAGTTTTATTTTATTTCATTTTTTTTAAATGTAGGAACAAGTCCTTTTTCAAGCTGACCCACTATATCAAAAGTTTAAAAATGTTTTGGATTGAGTTTTATTTTAATAAATCTTTCTTTAATTTAGCAACGTCGTTTTTCAAGTTGACTCAGTATATCAAACATTTTAAAAAGTTTTGGATAGGGATTTATTTTATTTATTTATTTATTTTTATTTTTCAAGCTGACCCAGTATATCAAAAGTAAAAAAAAAAATAGTTTTAGACTGAGGTTTATTTTATTTCATTTTTTTAAAAGGTAGGAACATGTCCTTTTTCAAGCTGACCCAGTATATTAAAAGTTAAAAAAAAGTTTTAGATTGAGTTTCATCATTTTTAATTTTTTTTTTTTAAATGTAGGAACATGTCCTTTTTCAAGCTTACTCAGTATATCAAAATTTAAAAAAAGTTTTAGATTGAGTTTTATCATTTTTAATTTTTTTTTTTAAATGTAGGAACATGTCTTTTTTCAAGCTGACCCAGTATATCAAAAGGTAAAAAAATAAAAGTTTTAGATTGAGTTTTATTTTAATTCTTTTTTTTTTTTATGTAGAAGCATGACCTTTTTAGGCTGACCCAGTATACCAAAAGTTAAAAAAGAGTTTTAGATTGAGTTTTATCATTTTTATTTTTTTTTTTAAATGTAAGAACATGTCCTTTTTCAAGCTGACCCAATATATCAAAACTTAAAAAAGAGTTTTAGATTGAGTTTTATAATATTTCTTTTTTTTTTTTAAATGTAGGAACATGTCTTTTTTCAAGCTGACCCAGTATATCAAAAGGTAAAAAAATAAAAGTTTTAGATTGAGTTTTATTTTAATTCTTTTTTTTTTTTATGTAGAAGCATGACCTTTTTAGGCTGACCCAGTATACCAAAAGTTAAAAAAGAGTTTTAGATTGAGTTTTATCATTTTTATTTTTTTTTTTTTAAATGTAAGAACATGTCCTTTTTCAAGCTGACCCAATATATCAAAACTTAAAAAAGAGTTTTAGATTGAGTTTTATAATATTTCTTTTTTTTTTTTTTAAATGTAGGAACATGTCTTTTTTCAAGCTGACCCAGTATATCAAAAGGTAAAAAAATAAAAGTTTTAGATTGAGTTTTATTTTAATTCTTTTTTTTTTTTTTTTTTTTTAATGTAGGAGCATGACCTTTTTAGGCTGACCCAGTATATCAAAATGTTAAAAGAAAGTTTTGGGCTGAGTTTTCTCTTTAATTCGTTTTTTTTTTTTAATGTAGGGTATTTATAATTTGACAGTGCCTTCTCACTAAGTGAGCCTTTGTCCTTGTTTGTCCTTGACTTGAAAATATCTTTAATATACATTTTTTTTTACTTTGCTGTGCATCCTATGAGATTTAATTTCCACCTCTTACTTTTTTGTTAAGATCAGCTAGACAGACATAATTAAGAGCGCAGCCACATAGGAAAACCCAAGTATGTGCTTGTGAGACCGAAGTGTTTGCTAAGAAATTATCATCAACCTTTTTCTTTAATTACTAATAATTAGCTGATATCTGGAAGAGCAAAGGCATTTAGCCAATGGTTTATTAGATTTCTATAATGCAATTTTTTTTTTTTTGGGCTTCTCATATATTTACCCTTTCGAGAAGCATTTTCATTTTATTAAAATAATTTTCATTTCATTCCGGCCATAACAGATTTAAATGAAACGCATTAAGTAAGATGACTTGTGTTCGTTATGATTAGCATTATTTAATGAGTCAAAGAAAATTGAATTTGGGTCTTTTCACGATCTGGTGTTTTAAAGTATAACTCCGGCAAGAAACTAGAACACATCAGCTCCCAGGAATATATTGCAGATTAACCACTTCCCGTCCGGCCCATGTATATAAACGGCCGGACGGTGGCACTGCAGGGTCGGGTGGCCATTTATAAATGGCCTCCCTGCACCCTGCTTGTGCCGCTCCGCGATCCGGTGCTCGCTGTGTCCTCCGGACACAGTGAAACACTGTTCGTCGGACGGGACCTCTGTACGAGGTCCCGATCATGTGATCACTGATTGGCCACCAAGGCAACCAAGGATTCCCCCACTTTGGAGGGAATTCCTCTCACTTCCTGTTTTGGCTATGGAACAGGAAGTGAAATCTCCCCAATGGCACAGATGGCAAACAAAACCTGGCAGGGGTTATAACCTTTGAGTACTGTGTCCAAAATGAAAGAAAATTGCATTCAGTTCTACATCAAGAATATTTTCAGTGAAAAACTGGGATTATTACTGTTTACCATTTTTTATTTTTTTTACCTAAAGTTCCACTTTAACCTCTTTCCCTCCAGAGGATTTCCCCCCCTTCCTGACTAGGCCATTTTTTTTTTTTTTTTTGCGTTACGGCGCTACGTTACTTTAACTGACAATTGCGCTGTCATGCGAATTGAGCTTTTTTTCGGTGGTATTTGATCGCCTGTTCATTTTTTATTTTTTGCACTATAAAAAAAAGACAATTTTGAGAAAAAAACAATATATTTTACTTTTTGCTATTAAACATGTCCAGTAAAAAATGTTAAAAAAATCTAATTTCCACATAAATTTAGGCCAAAATTTATTCTGTGTCATGTCTTTGCTAAAAAATAAATCCCAATATATGTAAATTAATTGGTCTACTTGAAACTTGCAACGTTAACACATGGCAGTATAGATCATGCATTTTTTTTTTACTAGTAATGGTGGCGATCAAAGACCTATAGCAAGACTGCAGCGGGCATTCTGACATTGGGGAGAACTGACTTGGTGACACTGACATCCCCAGTGACACCAATACAGTGATCAGGGCTAAAAAAAAAAAAAAGGACTGACACTGTACTAATGGCACTGGGCAGGAAGGGGTTAACATGAGCGGTGATCAAAGGGTTAACTGTGTGCTGTGTGTGTTTTACTAGGGAGATGTGTGTTTGTGCTTCACCGTAAGCACACTGCTTTGCATAGTTATGCTGTGCACAGCCATGCAAAGCAGTGTGCACAAGCTGAGATGCTCAGCAATCACCTGGCGCCGGCAAGTAATCACCGGGCCAGGACCTGGTGATTGACAGCCTCAGCTGTGAATGGCGGTGAGGGTAGGGCACAAGCGTGCCCCCTACCCACAAATGCAAAATCCTGTATATATACGTGATTTTGTGCACCCCTGCCACCCTGTAGCAGAATATCTGCTATAGGGCAGTCGGGAAATGGTTAAAGTCAGGATCTCTCCAGAGTGTGGAATTTAGCCCGCATGTGGCTGAGTATGGGTCACTCCTGTGATCCCCAGGAGAAGTAGGACCAAAAGAGCTAGTTAACCCCTTGGCGCCGACGTCACACAAACATGCGGCCTCACAGAACTTTTTTCCGTGGGGCCGCATATTTGCCTACCTTTCTTTGTGTTGGGAGCACACCGCAGGGTGTCACTGAGAGCTCGGGTCTTGTTCTAACAATCGGGACCCGGGACTCCCAATTCCAGGTCACATGATCACTGTGATAGCCTCTGATTGGCTATCCCAGGGATCAGGCACTGTGAAGCCCGCCCCCCTTGTTTTTTTTTTTAGCTCTGAATGGAGGAGAGAGATATATTGTATCTCCCTCTCTCTTTGCATAGAGAAAAAAAAACTGTTTGGAAAAAAAAAAAAGATAAATAATTAAATATAAAAAAAGAAAAGAAAAAAAGAAAGAAAAAATACCTAGATCAAGGTTTGATCTAGTTCAGTGACAGGGTTAGTGTGTGGGCAGGGTCAAAGATCAGGAATTTTTTTTAACTTAGTATCAATGTAGTATAGTATAGTGTCAGTGTGTTTTAGGAAAAAACAAAACTATTGTTTCTGGGCTGTAGCATAGGTACAAACAACAAACAACATACACATATATGGTATCGCTGCGATCGTCAAGAGATGGAAAATTTATTTTGGGTTGTTCTTTGGTGGTAGGTTATGGTAGTAACAAGAAACACACAGCTAAAATGATTTTTTTTACTATTTTGGACCAGTTTTCCTTTGATAATAAAACAAAAAAAATTAGGAGATATCCATTACTATTTACCACCAGGGGTGGACTGACCATTTGGACACTTGGGCACTGCCCGAGGGCCCGGAGTCAGTAGGGGGCCCCATGAGATGCCCCTGGTACCTTTTTCATAGGCTTTTTTGAGTTTGGGCAAGGACACAGGGGCCCCATGATCCCTTATTGCCCGGGGGCCCCATGAATTGTCAGTCCGCCCCTGTTTACCACCAAATGAAAGCCCAATTTATCCTGCAAAAAAATGCGGTATAATCCACCTGGATGTACAAAGTAGTTGTGATGATATGTGCGGTTTAACCACTTGCCTACCAGGCACTTATACCCCCTTATTTACCAGGCCAATTTTCAGCTTTCAGCGCTGCCGCACTTTGATTGACAATTGCGCGGTCATGCAACATTGTACCCATATGAAATTTTGATCATTTTTTTCTCACAAATAGAGCTTTCTTTTGGTGGTATTTAAACGCCACTGGGCATTTTACTTTTTGCGCTATAAATAAAAAAAGTGCAAAAAATTTGAAAAAAAAAAAAAAGTTTCTTTGTTTCTATTATAAAATTTTTCAAACAGGTAATTTTTCTCCTTCACTGATGTGCGTTGATGAGGCAGCACTGATGGGCACTGATAGGCGGCACTGATGGGAACTGATAGGCAGCACTAAAGGGCACTGATAGGCAGTACTAATGAGGTGGCACGAATAGGCGGCACTGATAGACAGCACTAATGAGGTGTCATGGATAGGCGGCACTAATATGCAGCACTGATAGGCGGCACTGATAGGTGACACTGATGATGGGTACTGATAGACGGCACTGACTGGCATCACTGCTGGGCTCTGACTGGCACAACCCCTGGGCACTGACTGGTGGCACTGACTGGCAGCACTGGTGGGCTGCACTGGTGGGCGGCACTGGTGGGCAGCACTGGTGGGTGGGCACAGGTGGGTGGCACTGGTGGGCACAGGTGGGTGGGCACAGGTGGGTGGCACTGCTGGGCACAGGTGGGTGGCACTGCTGGGCACAGGTAGGTGGCACTGCAGAGTGGCACAGGTGGGTGCACTGCTGGGCACAGGTGGGTGCACTGCTGGGCACAGGTGGGCGGAGCTAGTGGGCGCACTGCTGGGCACAGGTGGGCGGAACTTGCGGGCGGCACTGCTGGGCACCGATCATCAGGGCACTGATCATCAGTGCCCTGATGATCGGTGCCGATCCCCGCTCTGACAACTGCCGGTTCTCGGCAGTACTTTCCTCACGATCTGACAGCGTGAGGAAAGTGCAGCCGAGAACCGGCACTTGCATTTTCCTCTGATCAGCGTGTCATTGGACACCGCTGATCACGTGGTAAAAGTCCGCTGTGATTGGCCTTTTACCACATCACGTGATCAGCTGTGTCCGTAGGACACAGCGATCACGGAGATCGCCGGGTGCGCGCCCCCTGGGGGCGCGCAGGAGAGCGCGTTCTGGGAGGACGTCATATGACATCCACCCAGAACTGGCCGGCCGCAGTGAAGCCGTCATTCGGCTATCTGCGGTCGGCTACTAGTTAACTAACACATGTCAAAGTTGTAAAATTTTACTTAGGCATTAAGATTTGTTTTACCCTCAGGCATGAAGGGGTTAAACATCGGGATTTGCTAAAACTGTAAACCTTTTTTTTTATACATTGCTTTGATAAACAGATTCGGGGAAACCCTCAAAAAGTACCCCCTGATGAAGTTGATTTCACTGGATGAGAATTTGTAGGCCAAAATGACAAGATAAATATAATCCAATGAATGTTTATAAATATATAAACAATGTTTGGAAGCAAATTCTATATGAAAACAATGTACCGTATTTTCCGTTGTATAAGACGACTTTTTGACCCTTGAAAATCTTCTCAAAAGTCGAGGGTCGTCTTATACGCCGGTATACGGCATGCTGACACTTTTTAGGGGGGCGGCGCGGTGCAACCGCCGCCCCCCCCCCTTCCAACGGAATGGAAACTAAGTACAGGGGTGGACAGGGGCTTCTGTTTCTTACCTGGCTCCGGTCCCACGACGATCCAGTCCAGGAAGCACGGCTGCTCCTTCCTACAGTTCGGCCACTGGATGTTCACGTGGCTGCTCGGCTCCGCCTCCTCACCGGTGATTGGCCGCCAGAACTGTAGCTCAGGAAAGGCACACAGGCAGCCAATCACTGGTGAGGAAGCGGAGCCGAGCGGCCCTGCGAAAATCAAGTGAAGGTAAGTGTGCCGTGCACAGGTGCTGCTGCAACCATATATGCTGGCTGCAGCAGCACCACCATACTGAACAGGGGTCAGCAAGTGTCATTGGTGTCAGTGGGAGGAATAGTGCCCCGTCATTGGTGTCACTGATACCAATGATGGGGCATTATTCCTCCCACCAACACCAACGATGGGGCACTTTTCCTCCCCTCCACTGACACCAACGATGGGGCACTATTCCTCCCCCCCCCACTGACACCAATGATGGGGCACTATTCCACCCCCCACTGACACCAATGATGGGACACTATTCCTCCCACTGATACCAATGATGGAGCACTATTCCTCCCACTGACACCAATGATGGGACACTATTCCTCCCACTGATACCAATGATGGGGCACTATTCCTCCCACTGACACCAATGATGGAGTACTATTCCTCACACTGACACCAAAGATGGGGTGCTATTCCCCCCACTGATACTAATCATGGGGCACTATTCCTCCCACTGACACCAATGATGGGGCACTATTCCTCCCACTGACACCAATGATGGGGCACTATTCCCCCCACTGATACTAATCATGGGGCACTTTTCCTCCCACTGACACCAATGATGGGGCACTATTCCTTCCACTGACACCAATGATGGGGCACTATTCATCCCACTGACACCAATGATGGGGCACTATTCCTCCCACTGACACCAATGATGGGGCACTATTCCTTCCACTGACACCAATGATGGGGCACTATTCATCCCACTGACACCAATGATGGGGCACTATTCCTCCCACTGACACCAATGACGGGACACTATTCCTCCCACTGACACCAATGATGGGGCACGATTCCTCCCACTGACACCAATGATGGGGCACTATTCCTCCCACTGACACCAATGATGGGGCACTATTCCTCCCACTGATACCAATGATGGGGCACTATTCCTCCCACTGACACCAATGATGGGGCACTATTCCTCCCACTGACACCAATGATGGGGCACTATTCCTCCCACTGACACCAATGATGGGGCACGATTCCCCCCACTGACACCAATGATGGGGCACGATTCTTCCCACTGGTGTGCATTGGAAGAGGGGTAGTCTTATACGGCGAGTATAGCCCAAACACTACATTTTAACAGGAAAAGTAGGGGGGTCGTCTTATACGCCGGAAAATACGGTAACTCCTAAGGAGAGTCTCAAATATTTATTCAGATTTTTTTTTTATTTTAATCTCAATCGACTCTTACGGTAGCAGCTCATAAATATTTCAGAGCATTTGTCTATCATTAAATTCTCTGCTGAGCTCTTCATCTATTGCAAAACTCCATAAAATGGGAGAAATGAAAAAGATTGGAGCTGTGGCTCTACAGTCAGACGATGACTTAGGGCAAGGGTCTGAGTGACAGACCTCTCCTTGGTGGTTATGAGTTTGGTAAGAATAGACTTATAAAATATTGATTTTGCTGGTTTGTTTGTTTTTTTTTTTTGTTTTGTTTTTTTTTACAGCCGTGGGAGCTTAGTGTTCTAAAGTCTGCTTGTGTTTTTGGAAAACATCATTGGAGAGAGTCAACAATTTTTGTTGCTCCAACTTTTGTACTTTAACCCTTTTCTGCTGAGCCCTGGCATCCCTATTAGAGGGTCTATACGCTCAGGAATTGATGGAATTTCAAATCACATGACCACTGTGATTGGCTATCACAGTAATCACATGATCAGGAGCCCAGTTTGAGATCTTGGGGGACCCCTGAAATAATCACATCTACAGCTCACGGAACATTTGGTATGATCAGCAAGATGTTGATAATAATTATTTTTAGAAATAGCATTAAATAAAAGAATATTAAAACACGCCTATTTAATGTGAAACTTATGCTTTCTTTTTGTGCAGAGATGCTCCATTCTGGGTCCAACTTTGGAAAAACAGTGTGTGGGGGGGCAGCAGGGCAGGCTACAGGGGCTCAGGAGGTCACACTACGTGAGGGGGAAGCAGGCCACGTTATGTGGCAACAGGGCACATTACATGGAGGCAGGGCACATTACATGGAGGCAGGGCACATTACATGGAGGCAGGCACATTACGTGGGAACAGGGCACATTACATGGAGGCAGGGCACATTACGTGGGAACAGGCACTTTACGTGGAGGCAGGGCACATTATGTGGGAACAGGTACTTTACGTGGAGGCAGGGCACATTACGTGGGAACAGGGCACATTACGTGGAGGCAGGGCGCATTACGTGGGAACAAGGCACATTACATGGAGACAGGGCACATTACGTGGGAACAAGGCACATTACATGGAGGCAGGGCACATTACGTGGAGGCAGGGCCCATTACGTGGGAACAGGCAGATTACGTGGGAACAGGGCACACTACATGGAGACAGGGCACATTACGTGGGAACAGGGCACATTACATGGAGGCAGGGCACATTACATGGAGGCAGGGCACATTACATGGAGGCAGGGCACATTACATGGAGGCAGGGCACATTACATGGAGGCAGGGCACATTATGTGGGAACAGGCACTTTACGTGGAGGCAGGGCACATTATGTGGAAACAGGCACTTTACGTGGAGGCAGGGCACATTACGTGGGAACAGGGCACATTACATGGAGGCAGGGCACATTACGTGGAGGCAGGGCCCATTACGTGGGAACTGGGCACATTACATGGAGACAGGGCACATTACGTGGGAACAGGGCACATTACGTGGGAACAGGGCACATTACATGGAGGCAGGGCACATTACGTGGGAACAGGGCACATTACATGGAGGCAGGACACATTACGTGGGAACAGGGCATATTACATAGAGGCAGGGCACATTACGTGGGAACAGGGCATATTACATGGAGGCAGGGCCCATTACGTGGAGGCAGGGGCCATTACGTGGGAACAGGCACATTACGTAGGAACAGGGCACATTACGTGGAGACAGGGCACATTACGTGGAGGCAGGGCACATTACATGGGAACAGGCACATTACGTGGGAACAGGGCACATTACATGGAGGCAGGGCACATTACATGGGAACAGGCACATTACGTGGGAACAGGGCACATT